CCCCTCCCCCTCCCCCCAAACCCCAAACCCTAAACCCTAAACCCTAAACCCTAAACCCTCGCCTGCCGAGCCAGGCCTGGGGCCACTTGGGGAGTCTGAGATAAAGGGGGGTTTTGCCCCCTTCGGTGGTTTTGCTGCAGGGCCCTCTAAACCTCCCTTGCTGCTCCCTTTTGCTGCGAAACCCTTTGCTGCTGCTTTTGTCGCCGCGGCCGCGGCGCCGCTTCTTCCGCCGCAAACCCTGCGCAAACCCTAAACCCTAAACCCTAAACCCTAAACCCTAAACCCTAAACCCTAGGCCTGCACGCCGCACCCGCAACTCTCGGCACGGGTCGCCGCGAGCGGCGCACAAAGAGGCCAAAACCCTCCAGCTGCTGCGGGAGCGAGTACGGTTTAGGGTTTAGGGTTTAGGGTTTAGGGTTTAGGGTTTGGGGTTTCAGTACTGGCTGCCGCAGGTTCCGGGGCTCCACCGGCAGCAAGGGTTTGCGCTTTAGGGTTTGGCGGCGGCTGCGGGGCAAATAAACTGCAGCAGCAGCAGCAGCAGCAGCAGCAGCAGGGGGGGCCCCCAAGAAGGGTTCCTGAGACCCCCGCGCCCCACAAGACACCACTATGCTGCTGCTGCTGCTGCTGCTGCTGCTGCTGCTGCTGCTGCTGCTGAACAGGCTGGCCTTATCTATAAAACGAAACCGCCGCCGCCCCTCCAGCGGCGGAGGCAGCGGGGGGCCCCCAGGGGGCCCCCCGGGGGGCCCCCCAGGGGGGCCCCCTGGGGGGCCCCCAGGGGGGCCCCCTGGGGGGCCCCCAGGGGGGCCCCCAGAGGGGCCCCCTGGGGGGCCCCCTGGGGCCTCTGAGATGCAGCGTAAGGCAAAGTGAAGGGCCCCTAGGGTTTTAATTTGGGGGGAGTTGACCCGCTGGTGGGGCCCCCAGCAGCAGCAGCAGGAAGAACTGCTGCTGCTGCTGCTGCTGCTGCTGCTGCTGCTGCTGCTGCTGCAGCTTTTGTCGCTCAAGTGGAAATGGGGGGACCTTTGAGTGGCTGCTGCTGCTGCTGCTGCTGATCGAAGTAGAGCGAATGGGTGATTTGCTGCTGCTGCTGCTGCTGCTGCTGCTGCTGCAGAGCAGGGCGCAGCAGCAGCAGCAGCAGAAGCAGCAGCAGCAGCTCCTGCTGCTCCGGAAGATCTGAGCAGCAGCGATGGCAGCATTGCCTAAACCCTAAACCCTAAACCCTAAACCCTCGGCAGGGTTCCCCAGGGGTCGTATTCCCCCGAGGCAAAAACTGGCCCTAAACCCTCAACACCGAACCCCAAACCCTAAACCCTAAACCCTAAACCCTAAACCCTAAACCCTCGCCACATCTACAGTATAAAATAATAAATCCTAATTTGATACATCTTAAAAATGGCCATTTCTTAGCTGCTGCTCTTTGGGGGCCCCCGGGGGCCCCCGGGGGCCCTTGGGGGCCCCCAGGGGCCCCCGCAGCAAATTAGGGTTTGCTGCAGTTAATTAGGGTTTGCTGCTGGTTGAAGATATAAATCTGATTTATAAAAATAAATAAAATTATTTATTTTATTTTTAATTTATTTTTATTCCTTTATTATTGCTTTTTGGTTTGTTCGGAGCATGCAGCAGCCCCTGCTGCTGCTGCTGCTGCTGCTGCTGCTGCAGTTGCTGCTGCAGTTGCTGCTGAGTTGCTGCTGCAGTTGCAGTTTTTGCTGCTGCTGCTGCTTCTGCCAGAGCTGCTGCTGCAGCCAATTCTCGTGCTGCAGCAGCTGCTGCTGCTGCTCCTGCGGCTGTCGGTGTTGCTGCCGGTCCTGCTGCTGTTTGCTACAAGTGGCTCTTTTGCTGCTGCTGCTGCTGCTGCTGCTGCTGCTGCTCCGGCAGCTGCTGCTGCTGCGGTCACTTCTAGTCTACTTTGCAGCTGCTTTTGCTGCTGCTGCTGCTACTCTTGGTGCTGCTGCTGCCCCAGGTGCTGCTGCTGCTGCTGCTGCTGCTGCTGCTGCTTGTCTTGCTCCTTCAGCTGGTTCAGCAGCAGCTGCTGCTGCTGCTGAACCATTCGTTCACCCGCTACTGTTACTCTTGCTGCTGCTGCTGCTGCTGCTGCTGCTGCTGCTGCTCTTCCTGCGAAACCCCTTTATTACTTTTTCCATTCGTTGCTTTATAAAGCCTCGCGGCAAAAGCTGGGCCTCCGCTGTTTAGCTAGCTAGCTAGCTAGCTAG